CTCAGCCTCTCAAGCATCCACGCAAGCCCCGTTATGAACATACAACAACGTCAGGAGGATTGGATCTCAGATATCACCACCTTCATCTCCACAGGGCAGCTACCCGAGAATGAGGCCCGCGCTAAACTGACAAAGCTGAGGGCTCCCAGCTACACCATCGAAGATGGGAGGCTCTACAAACGATCTTATAATGGCACGCTACTTCGGTGCCTTCATCCAGATGAAGCCGAGGTCACAATGGAGGAAGTGCACAGTGGCACTTGCTCAGCTCACCAGGGACCCTTCTCCATGTCCCGAAGGCTCATTCTCCAGGGCTACTTCTGGCCAACCATGGCCAGGGATTGTGCTGACCTTGCCCGGAGGTGCACCACATGTCAACATTTCCAGAAAGCTCCCGGCAGGCCAGCGGTCAACTATGCCCCCATCAGCACCTCTGTCCCATTTTCTCGATGGGGGATAGACCTTGTGGGCCCTCTGCCGAGGGGTACCTCCAACAACAGATACATCATTGTGGCCGTCGACTATTTTACCAAGTGGGTGGAGGCTGAACCCCTCGCCAGCATCACAGAGGCGAAGTGCCGTCACTTCGTCCTCAAGAACGTCCTCACAAGGTTTGGCGTCCCCCAGCAGATCATCTCCGACAATGGGACACAATTTGAGGCAGCCCCCTTCTGTGCCCTTCTGGAGGCATGGGACATCAAACACACCTTCTCCTCCGTTGCCTACCCTCAAGGCAACGGGCAAGTAGAGAACGCCAACCGGACCTTGCTCGAGGGCCTCAAAAAGAAGCTGGAGGCCGAGGGCGGTGGCTGGGTAGAAGAACTTCACAACATCCTTTGGGCCTACCGCACCACCCCTCGGCGAGCTACAGGTGAAACACCCTTCTCCCTCTGCTACGGTTTTGAAGCCAAAGCTCCTACGGAAGTCACCCTTCCTACCCGAAGGGTGATCCAGTATGACCCCGAGGTCAACGACAGCAACATGGCCCTCGACCTCCACCTCATTTCAGAACGCCGGGAGCAGGCCTTCATCCGGGCAGAAAACTACCGAAGGCAAGTTAAAAGCTACATCGACGCCAAAGTTCGAACCCGAGAATTTCAAGTGGGGGACTATGTCCTCCGGAGGAGGGAAGCCAGCCAACCAACCGAGGGAGGAAAAATGGCACCAAAATTCGAAGGCCCCTACATCATAGCGGCCATCATCAAACCCGGGACCTACAAGCTCAAATGCCCCAATGGGAAAGAAGTCCCTAGGCACTGGAATGTACACCATTTAGTTAAATTTTATCAATAATGTAAGAGCGGCCAAGCCCTCATAACTAGTGAATGTACTATCCTATGGCCCAAGGCCTCCAATTTCGGAGAATGAAGATACATTCAAGACATCAAGCCCTCATACTGACTACAGGCCCCAGGCCTCACCACGAGAAGAACCCCCTCCGGCACCAAGTGCCGAGGGCGGACACCATCAACACCTACAACAAACAGTGAAAACACCACGTGTTTTCAGTCAAGACCCCTCGGTACCAAGTACCGAGGGAGGGAACTCCTATCACCAACAACAGAAGACACCAAGATGTTCCAAAGAAGACCCCTCGACACCCAGTTCCAGGGATATGCTCTCCTCTCAACTTCCAAACATCTGTTGGGAAACACCAAGTGTTTCATTCGAAGACCCTTCGGTACCAAGTACCGAGGGTAGACGCCTACATCAACTACAACAAAAGAGAACACCAAGTGTTCCTACAGAAGACCCCTCGGCACCCAGTGCCAGGGAGATGCTCTCCTATCAACTTCCAAACATCTATTGGGAAACACCAAGTGTTTCACTTGAAGACCCTTCGGTACCAAGTACCGAGGGTAGACACCTCCATCAACTGCAACAAAGGAGAACACCAAGTGTTCCTACAGAAGACCCCTCGGTACCAAGTACCGGGGGCTACACATCGAAACTAACACCAAGTGTTGTTTCTAAAAGCCGTACCCCACGAGGACGCATATACCGAAGGTGCCACCATCGGTGCCGGCGGCACGTAGTGCCCCCGGCCATTTGCAACTAGTGTGCAAATGAAAACCCTTCCTTGAAACGCTTTCCGCGTCACTACCCCCAGGGTGTGACAGGCATGAGAAATGCCCAGGATTCGACTTTCAAAAACGGAACGCTATCCGCGTCACTACCCCCAGGGTATGACAGGTATGAGAAATGCCCAGGATTCGACTTCCAAACCGAAACGCTCCCCGCGCCACCACCCCAAGGGTGTGGCAGGCCACGGACTATGTCTAGCGCCGAGGGGACGACTTTCAAAAATGAGGCGCTTTCCGCGCCATCCCCCAATGGGAGGCAGGTTACGGACCACCATATCTTGTGCCCAGGAAACGTCCCTCGATCCCCTCGGAACTCGGAAGGTTAACCCGAGGGAGGAGAGCCATTGGTGTATTCTGATGGTCTCCTAATAGGCCCAACCTTACCAAGAAACCAAGTTTCTTGATGCCTTCCTGTAATACCCGAGATTAATATAAGAGGATTAATAGTACTACTCATACCAACAGAGGTGCATCTCCTTTTAAGGGAGCTCATCACCCAAGAACTCCAAAGTTAAGCGTGCTTGCACGGGAGTAGTCTTGGGATGGGTGACCCCCTGGGAAGTTTCTCAGGGCGCACATGAGTGAGGACAAAGTGCGCGGTAAAGGCTCGTGGTGGTTTGTGGGGACAGTACTAGAGGTCTAGAGTAACTACCTCGGGTCCGGTGGGGCCGGGGTGTTACAAATGGTATCAGAGCAACCCTGCGACAGTGTGTTGACCTGTTGGATATGGGCGGGCACTTAGCGGGGCAAGATTCTGGGGTTTGATTGAGATTGGTTTAAGGGCGCAACGAGGACGTTGCGATCCTAAGTGGGGGTGATTGTAATACCCGAGATTAATATAAGAGGATTAATAGTACTACTCATACCAACAGAGGTGCATCTCCTTTTAAGGGAGCTCATCACCCAAGAACTCCAAAGTTAAGCGTGCTTGCACGGGAGTAGTCTTGGGATGGGTGACCCCCTGGGAAGTTTCTCAGGGCGCACATGAGTGAGGACAAAGTGCGCGGTAAAGGCTCGTGGTGGTTTGTGGGGACAGTACTAGAGGTCTAGAGTAACTACCTCGGGTCCGGTGGGGCCGGGGTGTTACACTTCCCTTCACCACCAACCAAAAAAAAAAAAGAGGGGGTGAAGGGGAGTAGACTCAGCGAGAAATCAAAGAGTACACTCCAACAGATCACAACAAGCCGAGGGCTCCCCACGGGAACACCTCCGGTAACTGAAGGCTTCTACTTCCCGAAGGATACCACTCAAACAAATATTATCAGGAAACGGCTAAGTCCACTACCTGGTCACCTCCGGTCACAAAAACACCGAAGGCTTCAACGATACAAAGGGACTGGACTATCCAAGGTCCACTAAACGGTACTTCAAACAAACGCCGAAGGCATCTGTTATGCACAAATACCGAGGGCCCTTTCCCCATGACAAGGGTCAAATTCTACAACTTTTAGAGTGTATGCCGAGGGCACACACTCCTCATTGGCTTTCTTCACAACAACAGGATTCAACATCAATTTATGCTTAGAAAAATTCTAAGTCCTGAAGGAGCAGCCCCCGGGCACCCGAAGGCTACACAGGGAAGCAACACTTGAAAAAATTCTAATACCTAAAGATTGGGCCCCCGGCCCAATCAATATTACAGCCAAGGGAATATGGTGGCCGAAGGCCATGCAATACAACAACACTTAAAAAGGAGTATTCTGTCCTAAATGAGTAGCCCCCGGGCATCTGCAATGTGGTGTGGAATCAGAGGGCACCCATCACCCGAAGGCTCCCAAGGGAAAATTTACACTTAGAAGATTTTCTAAGTCCTACATGTTTTTCCCCCGGTCAACTACTCATACATCAAGGAGGGATGCCATCTCCCGAAGGCTCCCAAGGGAAATTTACACTTAGAATATTTTCTAAGTCCTACATGTTTTCCCCCCCGGTCAACTACTCATACATCAAGGAGGGATGTCATCTCCCGAAGGCTCCCAAGGGAAATTTACACTTAGAATATTTTCTAAGTCCTACATGTTTTTCCCCGGTCAACTACTTATACATCAAGGAGGGATGCCATCTCCCGAAGGCTCCCAAAGGAGATTGTACACTTAGAATATTTTCTAAGTCCTGCATATTTTCCCCCTCGGTCAACTACTCATACATCATGAGGGGATGCCATCTCCCGAAGGCTCCTCAAGGGAAACTCTACACTTAGAAGATTTTCTAAGTACTACATGCTTTTCCCCGGTCAACTACTTATACATCAAGGAGGGATGCCATCTCCCGAAGGCTCCCAAAGGAGATTTTGCACTTAGAAGATTTTCTAAGTCCTGCATATTTTCCCCCCCGGTCAGCTACTCATACATCATGAAGGGATGCCATCTCCCGAAGGCTCCCAAGGGAAACTCTACACTTAGAAGATTTTCTAAGTCCTACAGTTCACAAGGAATCAACACTCAAGAAAATCTTCTAAGTCCTAAAGAATTAGCCCCCGGCCTATTCAATATTACAGGTGGGGCTCCACAGTAGCCGAAGGCTACGTGACATACTACGCTTGCAAAAAATCTCTGAGTCCTGAACATTGGGCCCTCGGTCCAAGATTCACACATCAGGAAGGGATCCCATTTCCCGAAGGCTCACAAGGGATGATCCACACTTAGAAATTTTTCTAAGTCCTAGGATGTGGGTTACTACAAACGCCCGAAGGCCTCATGCTGTGCTACACTTAGAAAAAATTTTCTAAGTCCTAATTGCTGCTGAACCCTCGGTTGCATATCCATCAGAGAATGCCCAACTACCGAAGGCTACACCCGTATTCAAACACTAGGAAAAGATTCTAAGTCCTACACATACATTCAAAAATGCCGAAGGCATACACTCAAGGAAAACGGAGGCGTACATTCAAGAAGAAAGGAATTGAAGGGAACAAGTCATATATACAAAGCCCGAATGCGATCATTCAATCATAAAAAAAAAGCAAGTGTAATTGCGATGTTACTATTACAAACGGGCCGAAGCCGAAGGATCAATGTTGTTCGTTACAAAATGTATTCAGACATTACAAATTATGAAGTCACTCTACAACTACGACAGCATCATTCATCGGGGGGCCCTCTGCAGCCGGCCTCGATGATGCCTCCGCTCCGGTCTCGACGGCGTCGTCCTCGGCCTCATTCTTCAACTCCGTGTCCTCAAGGTCGGGCCTCTGAACACCTTCCGGGAGCGACTCACGGACATCAGGCTGCAGGGGAGGAAGGCCATACGCTGAGGGGGAGAAGTCCTTTTGCTCAATGCCCAAATGTCGGGCCATCCTCCGGTAGATGAGGGCCTGGGTGAAGAATTCGCCGGCTTCATAGTACTCTCTGCCCTTCCGGGCCATCCATTCCCACCCAGGGCCCTCGGCCCATTCTTCAACGCATGCCTCCACGACCGAGGACACCCACATCTTGCGCCCCTCGGCTCTCCAACCCTCGGCGACAAAGGCCTCAACGGCCTCCTCCTGAGCCTTGGCGACGGCTAGCGCTTTGGAGTCCTCAGCCTCTTTAGCAGCGGCCTCAGCAGCGGCCTCAGCATCAGCCTTGCCTTTCTCTGCAGCCTCCAATTTCAAGCTCATCTGCCGGAGCTCCTCTTCTAGCTGGGCCCCCAGCTTCACCGCCTCTTGGTTCTTGAGGAGGCACTCCCTCATTCTGGCGTCTTGCTCCACTTTGTGGAGGCGCCATTCTTGAAGCCTCCGAGCCTGTTCGCCGAGGGCTAAGCAAGCCTGCAGAACAACAACAAAAACAGTTAAAGGCAATCACACAAAATAATCAAAGGAGAAGATGGAGAAAGCGAGGTAAACACTTACAGAGAGGGAGGAGCGGAGAATGTGGTCCTCGAGGGCCGCATCATTATAGGCCCCAAGGGCAGCCCTATCCGTCTCAGGGGTCATACCCCTCAGGATGGCCCCCGGGTCGACAGCGCCGCTGGCCAAAGATGTACCCCTCGGGAACGCGACTTGGAGGATCTCAGGCAGCAACTCCTCTGCCCCCGCCGGCGTTCCACCCGGCAGCCTCTCCACCTGCACCCCGGAGGCGGGGTGCTCATCAGCGATAATGACCGGGGGCTCCTTCTCGGCGACATCCCCCTTCTTCGGCTTTTTGGTAGCCGGGGGGGACCCCTTGGTCACTGCCTTCCTCTTTCCGGCAGCGGCATCGCCCTCGGCTTTCTTAAAGAGGGCAGTGGCGGGCTTCTGGATGCCCTGTCCCGACCCCTTCGGGTCCTGTTTCTTCAAACGTGCAAGGCCCTTTACGTTCACCATAGAGACGGGGATGCCTGCACAAAGGAGATAAAGGGTTAGTCCGACGGGTCTAAGCGAAGGGACGATAACATCCAAGCAAAAAAAAAAAACTAAGTACAACGAGTCTAAAGCCCTCGGCTCCTACCTCCGGAGGCTCCCTCAAACACTGGGAACTTCTCATCAGTTTCCCCCAGGAACCGGTACCGCCGGAACCCGAGGGTGTAGAGATCTTCTTCTTTGGTGCAGTCCTTGATGGAGATATTCTTGTCCCTGGCCTCCGGGATCATGGCCAGAATCCTGCCATCTTTCTCGAGGGCGGCGCTCCTCCTCTTCTCATGCCTCCTGAAGCGGTCACGCAGCTCCCTCGGGAAGGGACTCTCGGCTAGCTTCACATAGCACCACCGGTCCTTCCACCCCTTGTTCGAGGAGGGCGCCTCAGTGAAGAGTTTGAACACGGACACCTGCTGCAAATTGGCGAATCCCTCGGCATTCACGTGCCCCCCCCCCCCCCCCCGGCACAGGTTGAAGCTCTGGAAGAAGAGGTCCAGGCTAGGCGTCACCCCCCGGGACTTACAAAGCTGAAGGAAGCCAGTGATATAAGAATGGCTGTTCGGGGTCAGCTGGCAGGGGACCAAGCCAACAAACCTCAAATATTCCCGGAGGAATGGGTGCAGAGGGAACCTAAGTCCCATGGATACTGAAAGGACGTGCACCGCAATGCAGCCCTCGGGAGCCCGGGAGAGAACGTCATCCGGACCCGGTGTCACCACGATGGCCGAGGGGCCCACGTGAAGCTGGGTGACATAGATGTCCGCCGCATCAACCTTCGACTTGATCTCCAATGCGGCGGTGTTGAGATAGGAGTACCCCTCGGGCATATCGAGGGGCTTCCCTTGATCCGCTACGCTGCCCTTCTTCTTGGGAACAGCGGCCTTGGCCTTCTTCTTTCCGGGGGCCACCCGGAGGGGGACCGCATTCAGCGGCCGAGAGGTGCTGGCCTCCCCGGCACCCCGAGGGGGGAGCACAGCAACGGTGACCCTCTCGCCTTCTCTTTGTGCCTCCTCTTCAGCTGCTTGCCAGGCGATGGCCATCTCTTCATCCTCACATTCTTGCTCAAAGCCCTCGGCCTCCGCCTCAGCTTCGAGGGCTTTCTGCAACTCCAGGGCAATGACGACATCCTGTCCCACCGAGGACTCTGCACTTGAGGACTCCACGTCCGAGAGGACTTCATCCTCCACCGAGGGCGCCCCCGAGATATCTTGAGAATCGCTCTGGGACGACATGCTGACTCTAGTTCGAAGGCTCTTACAACTAGTGTTTTCTAAATGTTCTATCTCCTAGCCTAAGGGCGCAGTACAGGTAGCTAAGAGGTGAAGGGTAACTGGAGAACTGACCTTAAGAACAGAGGATTCAACCGGGGGCTGCTGTTTCTCTCTCTAGAAAAATTGGCAGAGCTTCGCTAACAAGTTTTTCGCACACGGAGGAATGCCTGGCCTTGGGGTATTTATAGGCGCTGGAATCCGGGCTTGGGCCTGGGTTCCGGGCCTCCGTATGGACGCCATCATTACTCACCGCGTCTTCGCCCAACCGGTGACGACGCCCACGGACAGCCAGCCATCACACGCCACGTGTGCCACCCCCCCCAACGGCTATATCCTGTCGTTACATATTCCAACGGCTATATTTCCAACGGCTATATTCTGGAAGCCCCCGGGTTTTTCTACTTCACTCCACTTCATCAAGGATAGCCTCCGGGTACACTCACTCAGAAGTGCCCCCGGGTTGCGCCCACACAGCACATAACAGTCGCCTTCGGGATCACTCCTTCAGATCCCCAGGGCTGCATATCAGGGGACCCCTCGGGGATTCCCCCTCAGCATTGCAAAACCGTGTAGCCCCCGGGGAGTGGCCTCATTGACGGATGACCCATGACACACAGGTAATGGGAGCCCTCGGGTATCTTCATCACCAACTAATCAACAAACAGTGGACCCCCCCGGTAACAACTTCACTGCTGCCCTCATCTGGCAGGCCCTCGATCACTGGATTGAGGGGCTCCCCTTCGGCACCACCAGGACATCAACAGCAAGCCTTCGGCTAATCAACACAGGAGCCCTCAGAAGAGAGAGCCTTCGGCATTCCCGTCATTCTCCATTTTTCACCAAGGTTTGACATTTTCGATTCATCATTGGGGGAATTCGGTGCACTCTTTTTCCCTCATTAGGATTTTTTCCCAAAGGGTTTTTCCTAATGAGGTTTTTAACGAGGCATCCCCCCAAAATGAAACGAGAAGCGTCAGCCTTCGGCCCGCAACAGCAACGCAACTACTCTACTCCTTTTCACCACTTTACAAGTGCCTCAAGGCGTGGGGGACTGGAGGACCCCCTCGGGAAAATCATTAAATTACAAAATCTGTGAAATTCCAACAAACAACAAAGCAAGCCCTCAAGTCCCGACATGTGGGTAACTGAGGGACTGCCTTCGGCAGGGACATAGAAGCAACGACTCCTCACCAACTTCAGAGATCACGACGGGACAAACATCAAAGGGCAAGCACAAATTACTCTTTTTCCCTCAAGTACCTTTCGGTAAAAAGAGTGAGGGACTCCTGATGGAGTATATGGCCCGGGAACCCCCGGCCCACAGACTCCTACTACTCCAGCGAAGGCCCAAAAGGCCCAACAGGCCCAACAGGCCGAAATCACAGCGCCCAGAGTACCGAGCAGTCCGCACAACGCACAGGGGTGCCTTCGCCCCCCTGGCTGAAGGCTCCAAATTATCACAGAACGGGTTTCTCAAGCAAACTAAGAAACTGGGCGAAAACGGCAGCCCTCGGCACTGTGAGCCCTCGGCACCAGGGGTGCCATCGGGTGGAAGAGCCCTCGGCTACTGCTCTATAGCCGAAGGCATCTCACTCGACAAGATATCTGCCTCACATGCGTACAGATCACCGTACCCCGCACAGACGTCCCATCCAACAGCCGCAGTAAATGCGGCCACATGCGGCTGCCAGCGCCAACCCGTTGAGGTGACCCCTCGGCCAATGAGCGCTTGACACGTGTCCCTGCCCGTCATTTATTGCTGCTATAAATAGCACCCCTTTTCCCCATTTGTAACCAGGTCATAACACGCTGAAAACACTCCGCATTTATAATACGTCTTCTCTCTCTACTTTTACTTACTCGCTCTGACTTCTCTCTAAGTTATTCCCCGTAATAACCCTTCGGATATATACCCCCGGGTAGACTATCCATCATTTCCGTAATAACCCTTCGGATATATACCCCCGGGTAGACTATCCATCAGGTACCAACTCATAATATGGTCCTGAAGACAAGAAACTCAGGTGCCCTCGTCGGCCGTGCCCTCGTCGGCCGTGCCCTCGTCGGCCACGCCCTCGTCGGCCACGAAGACCTCACAGAACCAGATTTCATACTTAATCATTCTTATCACTTTGTATCTCGGCCCAGTAGCGGTCCAGTTGTAAATGGGCCTCCCAAACCCAAGGCTTGGGAGCCCAGCCCGTATTTTCTCTATAAATACTCCCCTTGGGAGTAGTTGTAGGGCTGACAAAATCATTCTATTGAAGCATATTATTGCACTTCTCTCTCTAGCTCTCACTTCTCTCTAGACAATTACCCTATCATTTGGTGCTCTCGTTGAGAGCTAGAACAATCAAGTTAGCACCCTTCGTCGCTACCAAGCACAGCTAACCACTGATCATGGGAAGAACTAAATCAAACCGCAACCTCGTCAGCAAGGCCATCCCTGAGGACCAGGAGGCCAGGGAGCACGAGGAGGATGCTACGGCCGACCAGGTCGGCGGAGGGGGACCTCCGCAACCAGCTCAACGGCGGAGCCCCTGATGCCCGCATCGGCTTGGACAAGAAACGAGCTGAGAAGACGGACCACGCCCCGGCCCAGCCTATGGCCGCGGCCTCTCCGTCTGTGGATCCACAGGTCCAGGCCGCGCTGTCGGTCATCATCGCCAGCCTGGCCCAGAACCCCACCGTCCTCAGCGCACTCTTGCCAAGGACCCGGGGGAACGTCACTCCACCTCCTCAGCCCCAACTGTTGGCCGTCCAGATAGGCAACGATGAGGGGGTGATGGCCGAGGACACGGCGTCGTCCCACTCCCACCCCGTTTCCCCTCTTCGGCCTGGGCAGACCCCAGCGCGTGGAAAAGCCTCTACCTTCAATAGGCTGGGTGACACGCGCCGTCGTCCGGTTTTGGAGAGGATGGCAGGGCGGATTGGTGAGCGTCGGTCTGGCTCGCCAAGGGAAAGCTTGGGGTCTGTGTCCCGGACAGCGGACCAGCCCCGCCCGGACAAGGGCAAGGGGAAGCTGCACGAGGACGACGTGCGTCGCCAGATCAATGCGGCCCACGACGAGCGCATGAGGAACCAGCAGGGCGCCGCTGCAGCCGCCAGGGACCCCCGGGACGAGGTCATTGCCCAGCTGGAAAGGAGGCTGGCTCAGATGGAGGCCAGGCAATCGGCCAACACCCCCACGGCTGGCGCCTCCAACGACCCCGACCTCAACGCTCTCATGAACAAGGTCAGCGCCCTGGAGAGGGAGTTGGCCGAAGGGCGAGGTGACCCCATCATCCAGGTCAGGACCAGGACCCCTTTCACCAACAGGGTGCTCTCGGCCCCCATCCCGGAGATGTACAGGGGAAACGCCATCAAGTCCTACGATGGCCGATCAGACCCCCAGGAGCACTTCAGCCGCTATCAGAACAACATGCTGATGGTGAATGCGTCGGATGAATATCTCTGCCGTTGGTTCCTCTCTACTCTTGAGGGGCCAGCGTATGAGTGGTTCAACGCGCTCCCCGAAGGGAGTATTGACTCATGGCAGGACCTTGCTCAACGCTTCCTCACCCACTTTGCCGGGAGGAAGCGCGCGAAGAAGTATTTCACCCACCTCCTCTCCGTCAAGCAGCAACATGATGAGTCCCTCCGGTCGTTCATGGATCGGTGGACGAGGGAGACCGAAGAAGTCGAGGGGGCCGATGAGCGCACCCTCCTCTTCCTGTACCAAGGAGCCCTCCGCAGCTCCCCATACGCCAGGAGCCTCATCACCGACCCTCCAAGGTCGTACGCCAAGGCGCTCCAGCGCGGAAGCTTGTACGCCGACGCCGACGAGCTCCACAACCACAAGAAAGAGGGAGGCCATCCCTCCAAGAAGACAAATCCTTCGCCGGCCCCGGGTCCGTCCCCGGCCGGCCAGGGTGCCCAGGGCCGTCACGGCTCTGGTGGACAAAGTAAGAAAGATCGCCACTGGCGGCCGAGGTTGGAACGGCCGGAAGTTGCCCTCACTCACCCGATCGACACCATCCTCGACTATGCCGAGAAGCACGGCCTCATCGAGCAGGCTCCTCGGCCGGCCGAGGAGGTCCTTGCCATCCAGTGAGGCGGCACATACTGCCGGTTCCACAAGAACTCCTCGCACAACCCCGACGACTGCATCACGCTGAAGAAAGCCATCGAGCGCCTTATTCGTCAGGGGGAACTCTCCCAGTTTGTTAAAGGTGGCCCACGCAAAAATACATGGGTAAACACCGGCAAACCAGGGGGCGAACCCTCTACGAAGAAGCGGGAGATTGGCAGGCTCAGCGACGAAGAGGACTTCGAAGAGCCCCCGCCAAAGAAGAATCACATTCACCTCATTGTGGGTGGGAATACGGGGGGGACTCCGTCACCCAGAGAAAGAAATGGGCCCAATCCCTCTACATAGGGGAGGTGTCCCACATTCCCCCCCAGCCGAAGAAGCAGCGAACAGAGGCGATCACCTTCACCGACAAGGATCTGCCTCCCGGTACGGAATCACATAGGGATGCCCTCGTCATCCGGTGTGAGATCGGTGACACTATCATCCACCGCACTTACATCGATACGGGGAGCTCCGTCAACGTGATGTACCTGGATACCTTCAGGCAGCTGAAGCTAGACAGAGCACTGCTGAAGCCGATCAAGACACCGCTGTCCGGCTTCACCGGGGACTCTATCGACGCCGAGGGCACGATAGTCCTCCCCGTGGAAGTCGGCAACGGCCCCCACCGCGCCAAAATTGACATGGAGTTCATGGTGGTCAACCTCTAGTGCGCCCACAACCTGATCTTAGGGCGGCCAGCACTGGAGGACTTGGAGGCCATCATTTCCATGAAGCACTTATGTCTAAAGTTCCCCACCAATGGCGGCATCGGCTGCGCCAGAGGAAACCACAGGATAGCCAGAGCATGCTACCTCAAGCTAACGAGGCCGGCCGAAAGGGAAGGACAGAGGATAGACACCATCACGGTAGCCGTTGCCAAGGACGAGGAGAGGCCGCACGCTGAACCGGACGAGGAGGTCGAGGAAGTCCCTCTGGATACATCCCGGCCGGAGCGGGTTCTCAGAATCGGGAAGCAACTCCCGCAGGACTAGCGGAATGCCATCCTCCTCGTCCTACGGTTGTACGCCGTTATCTTCGCGCGGGGTCCGGACGATATGCCAGGCATCAGCCGCCAGGTGATCACCCACCAGCTGACCGTCGATCCGGCCTCTGCGCCTGTCAAGCAGAAGCGGCTCTACCTATCCACCGACAGGCGGGACATCGTCAAAGGGGAGGTCGCCATGCTCCTCTCAATCAACCACATCAAAGAGGTGAAGTACCCGACGTGGCTGGCCAATGTCGTCCTCGCCCAAAAACCGCCGACATTCAGAATGTGTGTTGATTACACCGACGTGAACAAGGCGTGCCCCATGGACCCGTTCCCTCTCCCCAACATTGATCAGCTGGTGGATGAGACGGCGGGATGCGAGTTGATGTCGTTCCTTGATGCTTTCAGAGGGTACCACCAAATCTCCATGCATGAAGATGACGCTGAGAAGACGGCATTCATGACCCCAGAGGGAATCTTTTGCTACCTCGTCATGCCTTCGGACTCAAAAACTCCGGCGCCACCTATACTAGGATGGTGGCCAAGATCTTCAGAGCAGTCCTCGGCCGGACGATGGAGGCATACGTCGACGACATGATCGTCAAGAGCAGGCAGGCCTCCGCCCATGCCGACGACCTACGGGAAATCTTTGAAATCATGAAGGAGTTCAGGCTCCGTCTCAACCCAAAGAAGTGCGCCTTCGGCGTCCAAGGTGGCAAGTTCCTCGGCTACATGGTCAGTCGGAGAGGCATCGAGATAAACCCGGAGAAGACACAGGCTATCATCAACATGGAGCCGCCCCGCAACGTCAAGGAAGTACAACGTCTGACGGGGCGCCTGGCGGCCCTGAACCGTTTCCTCTCCAGGTCATCCGAAAGGGCACTCCCCTTCTTCCAGATCATGCGTAAAGCCAACAGCTTCAAGTGGACGACGGAGTGCCAGGAAGCGTTCGAAGAGCTGAAGAGGTACCTATCGTCCAGATCATGCGTTATTAGTGCACGAAAAATGATTTTTTTTTTGTTTTTTTTTTGCAAAAGTGATGAGAACGGGTAAAAAAAAACTTAGTCTCCAGATAAATAATAACAAACACTAATATTAACTAATTATCAATCAATAACACTATGCCATTCCCCGGCAACGGCGCCAAAATCGTGACATGCCAAAATGTGTAGTGTGAAATGGTGTACAATGTGAATGGAAATGATGTTTTAATTGGCTTGTAACGATATAGTATAGAGTAAGTGAGTATCGTTCCGCTAGAGAATGGCTCAAAAAGAGAACTAGAATTAATGATTGATTTTTAGCTAATCACAAATTGATAACATTTTGAAATGGAGCTAAGTGAATAGATTTTTTTTTAACTTGTTTTTGTTAATGCGAAATTGCTAGAGAGTAAAATAAATCACAATACTTGGTAATTTAACAATTAATGATATAGAGAAAATTAGGCTTGGGCTAAGAGTAATTTTATTTTGATGTTCATAATAATAAAGATTTAACTAATTAACTTAGTTACTTTTAGATGTGTGAAAGATTTACAAATGGTAATCTTCTAATCGTTCCCACGACTTAGTTGATTACACTATCTTAAATTAATTCTGCTCCCGCAGTAATTTTATTAAGACAGTAAAAAGTACAAAATCAAATTATCCTAAATTCCTTAACACTTCCGTGTAGCAATTTAGTGGGTGAATTAATAAAAAGTATTTTAATGAAATTTCACTCCCGTGATAATAGTCATTTCCCAATATAATGTATTTAGCATATTAGAATATTCAACCCAACACTCCTAAAATTAACCAAGTAATAGTTTTAACCAATTATTATCGTATGAACATTAACAATAAAAATTACATCTTGCCCAAACCTAAACTTAATTTAGTTACACATAATTACAGTAAACGAAATAAAAGTAAAAGTAATGATAGGCATAATTAATTTAACAGATTAAAGAAAATAAAATGCGTATTTGAATAAGAACCTGATGGCATAAATAATGAGATGGAATAGAGAAAGTGAAATCCTTAAGCTGAGAATGATTCTGGCTGATACTTCCCAAATGAACTTGATTGTTGAAATTAAAGAACTAAAATTCTGGAAATGGAAATTACGAACTGAAATTTACAGAAAGTGTTCTTGACAGAATCACTTTTATTATATGACTACTACTATGAACAAAGCTAAAGAAAAGAGGAAGAAGATTTCTCTCCAAATTGGTGTCTTTTGCAGCTCATGGATGGCCCTTTAAATAGAAGTGGAAGAAGGGGTTAGAGCATCAAAACTCCTAAAATGAAGGTGCTGAAAATAAATTTTGGTTGACTTTCACTTCCATCTTCATGAGATTTGATTGCCACCTTCTTGATTTCTTTCTGCAAATAGTATCAATCAATTGTGCATTTTTTCTTCGTTTGCTACTGTTCTGGATCTTTTTGATTGCGGAGTGAAAGATGATGAAGACAATTGCAGTAGCTCGCCGGTCTCTTCAAGCTCAATCAATAATTCAATACAATGTCCTTTGTATTTCTTCTTTGGAGTTTTTTTTGTTTCTACGGTGGAGCTTCATACGTACATAATGAGTATGGATAAAATGTAATCACCCACTCAGCCAATCAGCCAGACTTTGGCTCTTTTCGGCCATTTGTTGTATTGACCGGTTGACTGTTTGATCAGTTAACTGGTCACCAGTTAACCGGTACATTTTATTGCGGGCAGTCTGGCTTATTCTGAAATGTATTTCGAGTCTCTTGATAAATATTTCGGAGTTAAAGTAATGATCCGGTTCACTTTGATGATTTTTCTGTCTTCACTCGGGAGTAATATTTATTTCTTTTCAGAAATTAATTTACAACCCGAATTGCCCTGAAATTGACAAAATATACCAAAACAAGTGCAATACCTTAAAATGTCCAAGATGATAAAAATCAATCCTTTTTATTTAAAAATGAGATATAAAATATTAAAAGTGTGACAAAACAAGATCATAAATATGGTAAATTATGAGTACATCAACTCCCCCATACTTAAGATTTTGCTTGTCCTCAAGCAAAAATATTTACAAGCAAGCAAAAATGAATTGCCAAATCATATGTATAACCTTCAAATCATGCACACTTTTCTTTCACTCCACCTGATCAATCAAATTCCCTTGACTTGTCACAAAATAAGAGTAGTGAGAATCATAAAAATATTTTGCATATCATCTGAAATGTTTTGGTCAAACCTTAACTCTAACAAACGCAAAGTGTGTGATGTGAAAATGGAATCTAGCTTCGTTTGTTCAACCATGCAAAATTATGCAAAATAAGATTTTCCTATCAACTTATTTCAGACAAAACACAATTAAGATCAATTAGGACTTTTCACATTGGGTTATAATGGGGTCTGTGGGAAAAGGCTTATGAACAAAGGGAGTTAATGAGGAAACAAAAGAAATGAACTTGTCATAAATTTAACAAATTTAAAGAGGTACTAAGAAGTGAGTAGAAGCTTTTGACAAATATCTATACAACACTTGTTCTTTTTTCAACAGTTAGGGGTAGTAAAAAGAGTAATTTAATGTACAAGAAAAATATACAAAAGAGAGAAGCATATACATTGACATTTAGCCTTGTTCTTCTTTTTTTTTTCTTTTTTTTTTTTATTTTTTTTTTCTTTTTCATTTTTTTTTTGATTTTTTTTTTCAAGGCTTATTTCATGCTTCTAACAGTAAGAATTTACAAGAATAATATGTACAATGATGATACAACAAGAACAACTACCCCTATAAATGAATATTAACAACTAAGTAATCACAAAAGTGTAAATGAAGCTCCCTTAAGGTGAATGACACTCTCTAAAATCATTAAAATTTATGCAAGTTCATTCTAGGGTGGATGGAAAGTGTTTGGCTTTTAGGTTAAGGTTCACATATAACGGGTTGTCATGAAAGAAAATAACAAAAATAGGGTTAAGCGTATAACGCTTATTACAAGAAATGGCTCAAAGGGGTGAACAAGGGATATTTATCACATGGGTAAGGCTAGGTATATGGTTTTTTTTTTTTTGAAAAATGGCCTATATCATTTCCTAATGTGCTAAGTGAGAAGATCATGTCAAGGAAAATAAAAGCACACAGCACTCTTGTTTTGCACAATCTTAAACATGTTGAACAACAATTTCACTAGATAACCATTTGCGTGCATGAGATGTATTGTGTCTGTACAAAGTTTAAAATTTGACCAAAATTTTACTCAACACTCAAAATTATGATTCTCAATCCAATTATTAAGAGACAAGTCCCGCCAACAATCCACATACCATGTGAAAGAATAGAATGCATGATTTGTAAGTTAAACAGATGATAAGGCAATTCACAAGCAAACAAACAAACATGCATATTCTCCCCCCACACTTAGGATGAAACATCGTCCTCGATGGGACAAATATATACAGGGCGGGTGAGTAAATGGGTGGAAAAAAAAATGCAATGCAAACACACAAACAAAACACACATTCAAATGCAAGTAAATAAACTTGGGTTGCCTCCCAAGAAGCGCTATTTTTAATGTCGTGTGCCCGACATTACCTGAGTGTTTTACTCGTAAGGAGGATTGTCCAGATCAACAGTGAGTTTCTCCTTTGTGTCATCTCCTTCATGATATTGCTTAACTCTTTGGCCATTGACAGTAAATTGCCTCCCATCATTTCCCTCCAGAATGATTGCCCCGGATGGATAGGCTTTGATAACTTTGAAAGGTCCAGACCATTTTGATTTCAGCTTTCCTGGAAAGAGTTTTAGCCTTGAGTTGAATAGTAGCACACTATCTCCAGGAGAAAAGTCTCTCCTAAGGATTCTCCCATCGTGCCATTTCTTTGCTCTTTCCTTGTAGAGCCGGGCATTCTCAAAGGCATCAAGTCTGAATTCTTCAAGTTCATTTAGTTGTAACAACCTCTTTTGCCCCGCCAGAGTGGAGTCAAGGTTTAGGCTTTGGATAGCCCAAAATGCTTTGTGTTCAATCTCCACTGGTAAGTGACAAGACTTCCCATACACCAATTTGAACGGTGATGTGCCAATAGGAGTCTTATATGCAGTACGATAGGCCCATAAAGCATCATCAAGTCGGAGGGACCAATCTTTCCTTGTGGGATTGACAACTTTCTCAAGGACTGATTTGATTTCCCTATTTGAGAGTTCAACTTGGCCACTAGTTTGTGCATGGTACGGAGTAGACACTTTGTGATTAACACCATACTTGAGCAAAAGTTTTTCAAGTTGCTTATTGCAGAAGTGTGTACCATTATCTGTGATGAAGGCCCTCGGAACTCCAAACCTTGAGAAAATAAATTTCTTCACAAACCGGATCACAACCTTGGAATCATTTGTTGGACTAGCAATCGCTTCAATCCATTTTGAAACATAGTCCACAACCACAAGAATGTAAGAATTGCCACATGAGCTAGGAAATGGTCCCATAAAGTCCATTCCCCATACATCAAAGAGTTCAACTTCAAGTATTCCGGATTGTGGCATTTCATTTCGGCGACCAATAGATCCTGTGCGTTGGCATCGATCACATCTTTTCACGTACATTTGAGAATCTTTGAACAATGTAGGCCAATAGAAACCTGACTGTAGGACTTTAGCTGACGTCCTTGTGGATCCGAAATGACCACCATATGGTGATGAATGACAATGATAAAGGATAGCCTCAAACTCATCTTCTGGAATGCATCTTCGAACAATTCCATCAGCACATCTCTTGAACAATAGTGGTTCATCCCAAAAATAAGAGCGAGCATCATGTAAGAACTTTTTCTTTTGGGACCACGAGAATTCGGAGGGAATATAACCACTGACCAGGTAATTAACCCAATCAGCATACCAAGGAGAAAAGTGCTTGACAGAGAGCAAATATTCTCCCGTGAATGAATCATCAATGGGTAATTCTCTGGTCGCTTTATTTTCTGTGTGTGACTCAATTCTGGACAGGTGATCAGCGATGACATTTTCAGACCCCTTTTTGTCAAGGATCTCGATGTCAAACTCTTGCAGTAGCAACACCCATCTAATAAGTCGTGGCTTGGCCTCCTTCTTTGCAAATAGGTACTTTAGAGCTGAGTGATCAGTGTAAACTATCACTTTGCTTCCAACAAGATATGACCTGAACTTCTCTATGGCAAAGACAACTGCGAGTAGCTCTTTTTCTGTTGTGGCATAGTTTTGTTGAGCATCATCGAGAGTATGACTTGCATAATAAATTGCATGTATGCAACGACCTTGTTTCTGTCCCAACATGGCTCCTACAGCATAATCACTGGCGTCACACATTAGGATGAAAGGCATGCTCCAATCTGGTGGTTGAATGATAGGTGCAGAACATAATGCTTTCTTAATTTTACAAAAAGAATTAAGACAAGCATCATCAAAGATAAATTCAACCTCTTTGGATAGGAGTCTTGTGAGTGGTTTTGCAATATTAGCAAAATCCTTGATGAAACGCCGATAGAATCCAGCATGCCCTAAAAAGCTTCGGATGCCTTTAACAGATGTTGGCGGTGGTAACTTCTCGATCACTTCAATCTTTGCTGGATCTACCTCAATGCCTTTGGATGAAATCTTATGCCCAAGAACAATTCCTTCTGTTACCATGAAATGGCACTTCTCCCAGTTTAGGACAAGATTTGCCTCTTGGCAACGAGTCAATGCTTTATCAAGATTATCCAAGCACGAGTCGAATGAGGTCCCATAGACAGAGAAATCATCCATGAATACCTCCATGATTTCTTCAATAAGATTAGAGAATATAGCCATCATACACCGTTGGAAAGTTCCGGGTGCATTACATAAGCCAAATGACATTCTTCGAAAAGCAAATGTACCATAGGCACACGTGAAGGTAGTCTTTTCTTGATCATCTGGATGGATCATGATTTGAAAATATCCTGAGAATCCATCGAGAAAGCAATAATGGCTATGGTTTTCCATCCTCTCAAGTAACTGATCAATGAAAGGTAAAGGATAATGATCCTTATTTGTGACTTTGTTAAGCTTCCTGTAATCGATGCACATTCTCCATCCCGTGACCAAACGAGTAGGAATGAGCTCATTATGCTCATTTGGAACAACTGTGAAACCTCCTTTCTTTGGTACAACATGGATTGGACTTACCCATCTACTGTCTGAAATAGGGTAAATGATACCAGCATCAAGAAGTTTGATAACTTCTTTCTTCACAACATCCTTCATGTTAGGATTAAGTCTCCTTTGATGTTCAACAACTGGTTTGCATCCTTCCTCAAGATAAATTCTGTGCATACAATAGTTAGCACTGATGCCAATTAGATCATCGATGGAGTATCCAATGATGTGTTTGTATTTTCTCAATAGGACCAATAGCTTGTCTACTTCCTCCTCATTCAATTTAGTGCTAATAATCACTGGGTAAGTAGAGTTTTCGCCAAGATAAGCATATCTTAGGTGTGATGGTAAAGGCTTCAACTCAACTTTGGGTGGTTCTTTTGTGTTATTAGTCTCCCTCACTTCTTCTCTCTCCAGTTTGTCCACTTTCCCCCCCTCATGATTTTTTTCACAACTCTCTTTGTTTTTTACACGCTCAACTAACTCTTCTCCCTCATGATTTTTTTCAATTTCCTCCACAGCATAAGCTTCCATAGGATCATTGTGAAAGAATCCCATGAAGTCTCTCACACATTCATCAACTATATCAACCCTCCAACAATCTTCCACACATGAAGGATTTCTCGCCATTTGGAAAATATTGAACTCAACCCTTTCATCCCCCACTTCAATTATTAACGTACCTTTTTTAACATCAATGATGGCACCAGCAGTGGCCAAGAAAGGCCTTCCTAATATGACAGGTACTCGCTCATCTTCATCCATTTCTAGGACGACAAAGTCACAAGGGATGAAATATTTCCCAACTTGTACAGGAATGTCTTCAAGAATACCAACAGGGTGCTTAACAGATCGGTCAGCAAGCTGAATGGTCATCGAAGTAGCTTTGGGAACACCAAGACTAAGTCGTTTGCTCATAGAATAAGGGATAAGGCTAACACTAGCCCCAAGGTCACACAAAGCTTTGTTGACCATGAACCCTCTAATAATGCATGGAATAGTAAAGCTACCTGGATCCTTCAATTTTTCTGGAAGTTTCTTTTGAATAATAGCACTAGATCCCTCGCTCATGGCTACAGTAGCTTTCTCTTCAAACTTCTTTTTGTTTGACAGAATTTCCTTCAGAAATTTGGAATATGAAGGCATATGTTTCAGAGCATCAAGAAGTGGAATTGTTGTGTTAAGTTGTCCGATCCATTTAAGGAATTTATCCCTCCTCTCATCAATTGTGTTCTTCTTTGCTCTGTAAGGAAATGGTAAAGGTGGAACATATGGTTGAACTACCTTTTTCATGCCCTCTTGTGTTGGGAAATTGAGACCTTCTTCGTTACTCTCCTTTGATGGTGAAGTCTCATTTTCAGTTATCTTTTCTTTTTCAACTACAAGTGGTGGATCAGAAAGTTGTTTTCCACTCCTTGTAGTGATTGCATTGACATTCTCATTGGGATGTTCAGAGTAGGCAGGCAATTTGCCTTGAACTTTGCTAGTAGATGGTGAAGCAAAACTAGCAATCTGGCTCTCAAGCATTTTGTTGTGAGCTTGAATTTGATTGAGTTGAGTAGTGAGTTGAGAAAATTGATTAGTAATACCTTGCATCATCTGTTGGAAATCATTAACTCCAACAAATTGTTGTTGTTGTTGAGGAGGTGATGAAAATTATTGTTGCGGTGGGTACCCTTGAGGATTTTGATACCCTTGATTTCCCCTCAATTGTTGGTTGTTTTGGTTTCCTCCTCTGAATCCTTGTTGATTTTGAAATCCAGGAGGTGTTGGTTTGGATGGAAAAGATGAATTTGCTGCACCTGATGGGTTGCTCCATGAAAATCCTGGATGTGTCTTCCCTTGAGGGTTATAGTTTCCTTGATATGGTACTTGGGGTCTACCATATATAGCTTCAGCTTGTTCTACTGTGGGGCCAGAAGGAACATTTTGTGTAAGTTCAAGAAGATTGCATTCCTTAAAAGAATGTCCTCCTCCACAGAGTTCACAGAAGAAAACTTGAGCTAAAGATGATGATGGATTTGTTGATGTGCTAGAAGTTGATGATGATTGTTTCTCCGTGAGCTTTTGAACCATGGTTGTGAGAGAATCAACCTTTGCCGTTAAAGCTGTTGTTTGGTCAACCTCATAAATTCCCGCTCCTAGTTTTTGAGTGGATCTTTCAGAATACCATGATGCACTGTTGTTACAAATTTTCTCAAGCATCTCTTTGCCTGTTTCAGGATCAAGCTCCATGAAAGCTCCATTAGCAGAGGCATCCACAACAATTTTGGAATTATCATGTAATCCTTCATAAAATGAGACAATGAGATCACCCATGCTCATATTATGATGTGGATATTGAACTTGAAGGTCTTTAAATCTCTTCCATGATTCGTAAAGAGATTCTGATGGATGTTGCCTGAATTGCTGGATAAGTTTCTTCATTTTTGATGTCTTGGAAGGAGGATAGAACTCCTTCATGAATTCTCGATGCAACTTCTCCCATGTGTTGAAATAACCGGATGGTTTAGAGTTCAACCAACTCAATGTTTCATCCCTCAGTGAGAATGGGAACAATCTGAGTCTGATAGCATCAACAGAGGCTCCATTAAGTTTAAGAGTTTGGAGAACTCTCAAGAATTGTTTCACATGGCTCGTCGGATCTTCACTCTTTGATCCGCCAAATTTGTTGGCTGAGACCAATGAGATAAGTGCTGGTTTGATCTCAAAATTTGCTGCATCCACACCTGGATAGAGAATACTGTCTTGTTGCTCAATTTCACCTGCAACATAATCAAGAAGTCTTCGCCCTTGCTGTTGTCTCATGAATTGCCCTTGATCTTGTTGATTATGTGGGTGTTGGTAGTATTGGCCAAATGGGTGAGGTTGGTATGGGTGCATAAATGGAGGAGGTGGGTAAGGATATGGGTAAGTGTATGGATATGGAGGAGGAGGTTGGTTTTGGTGATTTTGGTAGGGATGTGGTGGATAAATTTGGGGATGTGTTTGGGGAGGAATTTGTTGGAAATTTTCAAATCCTGGTGGTCTTTGATCTCCAAAGAAAGGATTATTTCTATCTCTGGGAGTATCAATGGGTGTATTTTGAGGTGGCGTAGGATTTGGATTTGGAATTAGGTTTTGGCCATTTGGATTATTGGGATTGTTTTGAAAATCCTCCATGATCAGATCTGGAATTTTAAGTTCAAGGGTTCGTGTTTTTCTTCTTTTCCTTAATTCTTTTTCAAAATCAAGGTTAAGTGGTTGCAGTCCTTCACTCCCTTGAGAGCGAGTATGCATACACTTTTTTAAGAGTTTTTTTTTTATTAGTGCACGAAAAATGATTTTTTTTTTGTTTTTTTTTTTGCAAAAGTGATGAGAACGGGTAAAAAAAAACTTAGTCTCCAGATAAATAATAACAAACACTAATATTAACTAATTATCAATCAATAACACTATGCCATTCCCCGGCAACGGCGCCAAAATCGTGACATGCCAAAATGTGTAGTGTGAAATGGTGTACAATGTGAATGGAAATGATGTTTTAATTGGCTTGTAACGATATAGTATAGAGTAAGTGAGTATCGTTCCGCTAGAGAATGGCTCAAAAAGAGAACTAGAATTAATGATTGATTTTTAGCTAATCACAAATTGATAACATTTTGAAATGGAGCTAAGTGAATAGATTTTTTTTAACTTGTTTTTGTTAATGCGAAATTGCTAGAGAGTAAAATAAATCACAATACTTGGTAATTTAACAATTAATGATATAGAGAAAATTAGGCTTGGGCTAAGAGTAATTTTATTTTGATGTTCATAATAATAAAGATTTAACTAATTAACTTAGTTACTTTTAGATGTGTGAAAGATTTACAAATGGTAATCTTCTAATCGTTCCCACGACTTAGTTGATTACACTATCTTAAATTAATTCTGCTCCCGCAGTAATTTTATTAAGACAGTAAAAAGTACAAAATCAAATTATCCTAAATTCCTTAACACTTCCGTGTAGCAATTTAGTGGGTGAATTAATAAAAAGTATTTTAATGAAATTTCACTCCCGTGATAATAGTCATTTCCCAATATAATGTATTTAGCATATTAGAATATTCAACCCAACACTCCTAAAATTAACCAAGTAATAGTTTTAACCAATTATTATCGTATGAACATTAACAATAAAAATTACATCTTGCCCAAACCTAAACTTAATTTAGTTACACATAATTACAGTAAACGAAATAAAAGTAAAAGTAATGATAGGCATAATTAATTTAACAGATTAAAGAAAATAAAATGCGTATTTGAATAAGAACCTGATGGCATAAATAATGAGATGGAATAGAGAAAGTGAAATCCTTAAGCTGAGAATGATTCTGGCTGATACTTCCCAAATGAACTTGATTGTTGAAATTAAAGAACTAAAATTCTGGAAATGGAAATTACGAACTGAAATTTACAGAAAGTGTTCTTGACAGAATCACTTTTATTATATGACTACTACTATGAACAAAGCTAAAGAAAAGAGGAAGAAGATTTCTCTCCAAATTGGTGTCTTTTGCAGCTCATGGATGGCCCTTTAAATAGAAGTGGAAGAAGGGGTTAGAGCATCAAAACTCCTAAAATGAAGGTGCTGAAAATAAATTTTGGTTGACTTTCACTTCCATCTTCATGAGATTTGATTGCCACCTTCTTGATTTCTTTCTGCAAATAGTATCAATCAATTGTGCATTTTTTCTTCGTTTGCTACTGTTCTGGATCTTTTTGATTGCGGAGTGAAAGATGATGAAGACAATTGCAGTAGCTCGCCGGTCTCTTCAAGCTCAATCAATAATTCAATACAATGTCCTTTGTATTTCTTCTTTGGAGTTTTTTTTGTTTCTACGGTGGAGCTTCATACGTACATAATGAGTATGGATAAAATGTAATCACCCACTCAGCCAATCAGCCAGACTTTGGCTCTTTTCGGCCATTTGTTGTATTGACCGGTTGACTGTTTGATCAGTTAACTGGTCACCAGTTAACCGGTACATTTTATTGCGGGCAGTCTGGCTTATTCTGAAATGTATTTCGAGTCTCTTGATAAATATTTCGGAGTTAAAGTAATGATCCGGTTCACTTTGATGATTTTTCTGTCTTCACTCGGGAGTAATATTTATTTCTTTTCAGAAATTAATTTACAACCCGAATTGCCCTGAAATTGACAAAATATACCAAAACAAGTGCAATACCTTAAAATGTCCAAGATGATAAAAATCAATCCTTTTTATTTAAAAATGAGATATAAAATATTAAAAGTGTGACAAAACAAGATCATAAATATGGTAAATTATGAGTACATCAACGGGGGAGCTGCCCCCGGACGAGGAGAGGGCCAAACTCGCCAAACTCAGGGCCCCAAGCTACACCATTGAAGATGGCAAACTCTACAAACGATCCTATAATGGCACTCTCCTTCGATGCCTGCACCAGGATGAGGCCGACGTGGCCATGGAAGAAGTTCATTGTGGTGTTTGCTCCTCGCACCAGGGCCCTTTCAGCATGTCCCGGCGCCTCGTCGTTCAGGGCTTCTTCTGGCCGACGATGGCGCGAGACTGTGCGGACCTGGCCAGGAAGTGTACCACGTGCCAGGTACTCCAGAAGGCCCCTGGTCGGCCAGCCGTCAACTACGCCCCCGTCAGCACTGCTATTCCGTTCTCAAGGTGGGGGATTGACCTGGTCGGCCCTCTGCCCAGAGCGGCCGGCAACAACCGCTACATCATCGTTGCAGTCGACTACTTCACTAAGTGGGTCGAAGCGGAACCCCTGGCCAGCATCACGGGGGCCAGATGTCAGAAGTTCGTTCACAAGAACATTCTCACCCGCTTCGGTGTCCCCCAAGAGATCATCTCCGACAATGGCACCCAGTTCGAAGCGGTGCCCTTCCAAGAACTCCTTCGAGAATGGGGGATAAAACATCGTTTCTCCTCCGTTGCCTACCCCCAAGGCAACGGGCAGGTTGAGAACGCCAATAGAACTATCATGGAAGGGCTGAAGAAGAACCTACAGGACGCAGGAGGGAACACCTGATGGAGTATATGGGTCTGAGCCCCAGGACCCACATACTCAGGACAGAAAGCACAAGACACTGAGTGGTGCCCTCGTCAGCCAAGGGACCCCCGTCGGCCGGAAAGGTACCAACTCAGAATATGGTCCTGAAGCCAAGGAACCCAGGTGCCCTCGTCGGCCGTGCCCTCGTCGGCCGTGCCCTCGTCGACCACGCCCTCGTCGGCCACGAAGACCTCACAGAACCAGATTTCATACTTAATCATTGTTATCACTTTGTATCTCGGCCCAGTAGCGGTCCAGTTGTAAATGGCCCTCCCAAGCCCAAGGCTTGGGAGCCCAGTCCGTATTTCCTCTATAAATACTTCCCTTGGGAGTAGTTGTAGGGGTGACAAAATCATTCTATTGAAGCATATTATTGCACTTCTCTCTCTAGCTCTCACTTCTCTCTAGACAATTACCCTATCAAATATAATATTGGGAAAATATTAAATTTCATTGTGATAATAAGATATTTTTATTAATACGTTTGATATTGGTTTTGAAACTTAATAATTGAGCAAATAATTCTCCGTGCATCGCACGGGTGAAATTCTAGTTTCAAATTTAAAAACAAAACCGTCGAAGACAAAATTGGGTTGACCGGAATAGGTTAGTCACGGGTTATATCTGTGACTATTTTTTTAAACAATATGTGAGTACACCGTGACTAGAACCATGACTAACTAGTCACGGACGAAATCCGTGACTACGTTCCGTGACTAAAAGAGATTTTTTTTTACCTACGTGAAAGTCCACTTGGAATTCTTTTACTGTTTTCTATTTGTTTTGTTTTTCTTTTGCTTCTTTCTTCTTTTTCTCTCACTTTTTTCTCTCCCAGCAATTCTTCTCGTCTACTTATAACGATATCCACCGCCACCGCCAACCCTGCGACCATATCCACTTGCATTGCCCTTTCCTCCATTTCTGCCGCACTTATAACCATATCCACCGCCTCCCCCACCTCTGCTCCATAGAACCAGTCGTCATGCTCTTCCTCCTCTATCCTCTCCCACCGCCGCGGGAAAATGATGCCGGACTGCCGGAGTTCCAGAACAACTACTCCGGGATGTTCGATGGTTTGGATAAAGAATTTCACGATAATGGTAAGATCGGCTTGAATGCGCCAACGATCAGGTGGGTTTCAATTTCTTGTCATGTTCTGATGTTCACTCTATAGAGTCAATTCTGCAGCGATGAAGCCTCGGATGCACCAAGGTCATAGAAAAATGGGTAGTGTTCAATCTCCATCCTGTATTAAGCCTTAGGTTGGGCATAAAATCCGAACCGAACCGGTACAGAACCGCCCCGTAATTGTACCGAACCGAATACCGGGTATTTAAACGATTCTATAGATTTTTATCCCGTACCGAAATCGTACCGTTTGAAACGGGTACAGGACTGGTCCTAGATTTTGAGAACCAGAAAATATCGGACCGAACCGTTTTAAAGATCTAGACCAACAATATCTGGAGAATTTTATACCGGACCGAACCGTTCTATAGAGAGAGAATTTTATACTCCAATTTTAAATAATGCATTTGAATTTTTTATATTTTTCTATATCAATAGATCTAGACCAACAATTTTATGAATTTGGATCCTCTCCATTAACTGGAGAGTTCCATTATGAGAGAGATAGAGAGGAGAAAATTAAGAGTGGGGTATGTTGATGATTAGGATAGAGAAAAAGGTAGAGATAGATAGGAAGTAAAAAAGAAATGGAAAGAAAATGAAGAGAAAGAAATGGAGAGGAGCTGCACTCCAATTTTATACACCAAATATGTATTCGTCTGTCTCTAAGATATCTAAAATGTGTTGTTTATATATATATATATATATATATATATATATAGAATAAGGATCAAATGAGAAGACATCTTAACGTGAGAAGTGAGAAGCTTCACATTTGGCTCTTTCGGATGCACTTTTGCGCTAATCTGATTCACTTTTTGCGATCACAGAAAAGTTCCGATTAATTAAAAAAGTGATGCAAGACGCGGTGGTATTTCCATAATTAATTAGAACTTTTCTGATATCGCAAAAAGTGCATCAGATTAGCGCAAAAGTGCATCAGAAAGCGGCAAATGTGAAGCTTCTCACTTCTCACGTTAAGATGTCTTCTTATTAGAACCTAACCCTATATATATATATATATATATATATATATATATATATATATATATATATATATATATATATATATTGTTAGTTTATATTTTTAGATAATTTATGTTATATTTTAGTATGTATTGAAACAATATTAAAATTTTAGAAATCATTAATGATTATTAATTTCTAGTAATGTAGCGTACATGACTTTTTGTTGTATCATGTTTGTGCATATTTTACAACATAATTATTATGGTTTAAATCTTAACTCTCAAGGTTCAACTATAAATTAAATTAGAACTACGGAGTAATATTTAACCTAGAACGAAGAAGAACGTTGAAGATTTCTATTATATTCAACAATTTGATGATATTCGTTTTTATATTTTTACAAGAACTTAGTAAATTAAAAATGATATTTATCTCTTGCGTCATCGTTTTGCTATACTTTTCCTAGTTGTGTTGCACTATTTGTGTATTTGTGAATTTTAGTACTAGGTATGCAATTTCTTGTATTTATTTCAACATGTCATGTGAGTTGGTTGGTGTGATGATATCTACTACTCCCTCCGTCCCTAATAAATTTGCCAAGTTTGACTGACATGAAAAATAATAAAGTAAAAACTGTGTGGTTGAGGTTTGTGCAGAGGAGAGAGAATGAACTGCAACCACAATTTCTTTACTTAAAGGGGAAAGTGGCAAAGTTAGTGGAACGTCTAAAAAGGAAAATTGGCAAAGTTATAAGGGACGGAGGGAGTAATTGCAAGATTTGTTCAAAAATTTTAGCATGTGTTTGGCATTGTACTGTACCGTTTTGTACCGTTCCGAAATGACATGGTACCGAACGGTTCTATCCTTGGAATCGGACCGTACCGGACCGTTAAAAATCTCACGGATACATTACGGGTTTTACCAATTTACCGGACCATTCCGGATCGCGCCCACCCCTATTAAGCCTTAGACGACAGATAGACGCACTCCCTGCCCGGCTGCCTCATCCACATTTTCCGGTGAAAGAGAGGAAGAAAGAGAAAATAAGAAACAAAGAGAAAAACAAATCGAAGAGAAAAAGTAAAAAAATGAAAACCAGTAAAAAATGCCAACAAAGCTTCCACGTAGGTGGGGTTACGGGATTACTGGCTCATTACTGGTCAAAAAGCCAATTTGGCTATCTTTTAACACTTTGTGGACTTGAATTGATTGATTCACTTTAGAGTACGAGGACTTGATAGACTTTTTCAAAAAAAGCAATTTAAAAAGAAAAAAGAGTTAGGGATGGAGGGGTAGTACTAACACATTGGGTATTTTATGTTAAAAGAAATTAGTATACCAGTTACAACAAATGAGTATTGGAATTAAATAATAAAATTAAGACAATAAATATTCCGATGATAATACAATGATATTATAGTTAAATGAATAAGTTGATTTGTAGCATATACATATTACGTGCATATTATGATACTCAATTGCATGCTTCTAATACTCAATTGTGTTATCAATACAATGATTTAAAAACTTGACGGATGAGCTAAAAATATGAGTTACCAAATGGGCTTTTAAAGCGTTCAAATTAAGCACAAACTTTTATATGAAGACATTATTTTTAACTTTATTCAAGTTAAATTAATACACGTTTCTTTCATAATTCGGTTAAACAGAGGAAAAGAAGGAATAAAATGCACGGTGGCTGACAGAGAGTGGCTGACCGATAGAGAGCTGCTGGGTAATATGATAGTAGAGTAATTTGAAGATGTTTACTCTTCCGCAAACAATGTAGTGACACGAGCATTACTAGACGGAGATAAAAGGGTCTCTAAAATTCAAAACAAAGCATTACCGCATCCGATTACTCCTGAAAAGGTTAGAAAAGCAACATTTGGTATGCATCCAGATAAGACGCTTAGTTCAGATGGAATGAACCCTGGATTTTTTCAGAATTTTTAGGAGATTGTGGGCCCAGAGGTTGTGACGTTTTGTTAACAGGCATTTGAAGAAGGTATGCTTCCTATCGAATTAAATTGCACTAATTTAGTGTTAATAGGGAAAAATGATAAGCCAGAAGGGATGAGGGACTGGAGGCCTACAACTTTTTGTAATGTGGAGTATACAATATTTTCTAAATTGATAGTTAATTGAATGAAAGGTATATTGGATGGTGTATAATATCTGAAAATCAAAGTGCTTTTATTCTGGGAAGGTCAATTATTGACAATGTGATGATTGCTTTTGAAGCACAACATTATTTGAAGGGGGGAATATGTGGAAAAGAGGGTTTCATCGCTTTAAAACTTGATATGACTTAAGCGTATGATAGGGTGGAGTGGGATTTTCTCTGATCTGTTATGCTCAATATGAGTTTTGTGGCTAGATGAGTTAATGTGATTATGGCTTGTGTTACCTCAGTCTCATACACTATTCCATTTCATAGGACAATGTTGGGTCCTATTTTCCCTAAGCGGGGAATGAGACAAGGTGACCCTTTGTCTCCATATTTGTTTATCCTACTGGCAAAGGGTTTAATCTCGCTGATCCGTAGACAAGAGGTGATGGGAGAGCTACATGGGATGGCTGTATCAAGAGCACCGCCACGGATAACACATCTTTTGTTTGCGGACGATAGTTTTTTGTTTCTTTAAAGCAAATGAGATGGAATGTGAGGTGGTGAAAATTTTGCTTTCTCAATATGAAGCAAGATCTGGTCAAATGGTAAATTATGAAAAGTCTAGTGTGTCGTTCAATTCCAATGTAGCCCAGAATACCCGAGATATATTATGTTCAGTGTTGAGGATGAATAAAGAAACTGCCACAAGGAAGTATTTGGGGTTGCTTCGCTTGTAGGACGAAGGAAATGTGAGATACTTGTTATCTTAAAGTGAGAATTATAAAACGATTATAAAGCTAGAACACCAGATTCCTTTCGCAAACAAGGAGATAAATCTTATTAAAGTTGGTTATAAAGGTTATGCATGCATATGCCATGAATGTGTTCTTGTTACCAGACGAGTTGTGTACTGAGATTGAAAGGTTAATGAATGGTTATTGGTGGAGGGGAAAGGAGATGACTGATAGGTATGTTCGTTGGAAAAGGTGGCAAGCTATGTGCAAACCAAAGGCTTATGGGAGCTTTGTTTTAGGAGGTTAAAGGAGTTTTAATGTGGCTAAGTTAGGCAAACAAGCACGGAGATTGATTTTAGAGCCTAATGCATTGGTGAGTAGAATTTTTAAAGCAAGATACTTTCCGGATTCATCCTTTTGCGAAGAAAGGATTGGAAATAATCCACCGTTCATTTGGCAGAGTGTGATGGCTGCAAAAGAAGTAATGGTTACTGGTACAAGTAGAAGAGTTGCGAATGGTAGAGATATATCAGTTTAGTACGACTTTGGGTACAGAAAGTGGGACAGAGAAAGTGATTTCTCCTAACCCGCAGGGGATTAAGGACATGAACGTAGCAGCCTTGTTATCTAGCAGCGGGAAAGAATGGAATACAACAAGAGTTAGGGAGATGTTTTCCGCTATGGATAGTGATGTTAGAGCATCTTTAATGCTACACCGTTAACATGGAATAAATTTTGACACATGGCACTCAATAAAAGGAATAGTCATCCACCTCATATTGAAGTTATCTAGGAGGACATTGAAACCCAAAAATCAAGTCCAATGTTTAATGTCAACCGCCCATGTAACACCTATACGTGTAAGCCATTTTTAAAATTAAAATAGTACATCATACTAAATGCTTCCTGGATTCGCTTACTACTTTTGAGATAACAATCAATTCACTTCTTTTAAACAAAGTTTTGTAGTTTTTGATTGGATTCTTGGATAAAGCGAATTGCAAAATTCAGGTAATTTTTTGTCATAACCGCTGCAATTTTCCATGGAAAGTTCAACAACCATGACCCACTGACAGCATCCGGCCACTAGAAAAATCGATCACCTTTGTTGATCTCCGTTGATCTCAGCAGCTTTACTCCAAACTCCAAACGGGACTTCCAGAAGTTTACTCCAGAGGGGGAAGGTGAGATGAATACATTTTTGGATGGTAAATATGTTTATCAGTGGGAGAAGGTCCTGGATTTTCTATAATTTGGGCACTATCTCCCTCACGTTTGCTGAGTCACATTGTGAAGGGCGATGTTACATCGAACTCAATCATACCCAGCGGTATAAAATTACACGTCAATGCTTGGCCCTCTACTTCCACCTCACACGATGGATAGTGGCTATCTCTTTCGATGTCATCCCCCAGAGATGTGGAAACAATTAGAGTTTGAGTCTATTCCTGCACGTGTGACGCCTCTTCTCGTGCCGCCGAGTGACGGTCCTGCATAGTTCTTTCCTGTCATGGTTCCTCCTCCGGCCCCCGAGGTCCCTTCTCTCCCCAATTGTGGGAATTTGGCCTTCATGTGACCCGTATTCCCACATTGGTAGAACCTCGGGGGTGCATTGCACTTACCGAAGTGGTTCTTTGAACAGTTGGCACACCTAGGTGGTCTGGGCTTGTGGGAAGGCGACGAATGCCATCTAGAGTCTCTGTTCTTCTTCACCGGAGGTGCCGGTGCCTTGAACGACCCACCGCCTCCATGGTTGTTCTTTCTTGAATGATCAGGGGTCCCGAACTACTCCACTTCCTTTTCTTCGGCTCTTCGGCGTCTCTCTCCTTTCTTTCATTCCATTGGGTTTCCCCAAGCATGCCCTGTTCCACCACTTCTCTGAAAGTCATGTGGCGCGAGTACGTCGTCCTATCACGGATGTCTAAGAGTAGACCATCCCAGAAATGTTCTGTCATGCGGTCCTCATCGGCCGCATACCCCGGTAAGAACCTCACCAAGGTTCTGAATTCTTGCTCCAGTTGTTTGTCAGTTACACCCACCTTTTGCTTGAGGTTTGTGTACTCCCTACGCTTTACATTAACCTCGTAATCGGAGTAGTATTGGGCGTAGAACTCATGTTCAAAGTTCGCCCATGTGATAGTTCCTCGGTACTTTCCTTCTACACTCTCCGACCATGTAGAAGCTTTCAAGCAAACGCGAAGCAACAATTAACTTCACGTCAGGTGTTATTTGCATGTCTTTCGATGCATCTTTCACCTTCTTTATCCAATCGGCGGCAACGGTAATATCGTCGGTGCCGTCGAAGGACCTACACCCCAAGGCTCTAGCCTCCTTGAGGTATTCGGAGATTCTCACACAAAAATCTCCCTCACGTCCACCGCGGGATGTCCCTAACATGGCTCTTAAAGCTCCCCTGCTTCCTTGACCCGATCCGCCTTGAGAGGCACGCCTAGCTTGGCGTCTAAGATCTCTCCTTAGCTTTTTCTTTTGATACCATTCCAATAACCCACCCATCTGAGCTAAACGGGCATCACTTTAATCGTTGTCATCATCATCATCAGTGTGGAAATCACCCCCATCATATGGGGTTTCCTCATGCTCTGTTTCGGGAACAAAATTTGAGTCATAGTTCTCGGTGTTAGTCTCATACACCGAGCTTACGTGGCCATCGCTCACTGTTTGGGCACGGTGGCCCCACGGCCTCCTCTTCTCCCCCTAGAGCCAAGGGATGTGGCTCGGCTAGCTCCCACGGAGGCTCCCGCAGCTAGTCCCCCAGGGTTGTTTCTCGTCGGCATACGTCTACCCTCCATTTCCACAAAGAAATATGAACGAGTCGTTAGACTCCAATCAATGTCAATTGACGGAACACGTTATAGACACATATTGGCCCAAGTCACCGCCATACCAGTTGTTAAGGGTACCATATTAACAACTAGAGGTCTTGCAACCTAGGCAACAATAGCCCTATAGACATCAAAATACAATGCTCATGGTTTTCGGTAAAACTCTTTTGTAAAATCTCTTGTGAGAGGTTGGTTACATAGTTTAGAACTGAGATGGCTCTGATACCACTTAATTGTCACGCCCCAGACCGTATCTAAGCGCGTGTACAACCGTCTTATGATCAAGCAACGTCACTCGCAAGTCAACTTCACTTAATCATACAAGGCGTTAGAGAAAAATAATCCATCCATACTCAGTAGTAAACACACATATCAACATCACATTTAAACCAATGAATAGCGGAAATATTCAACGGTAAATCATACGCCACACCCGGCCTAGACTTGGGCATGCAAGCCCTAAAATAATTTATAACAAAATAAATATCCATGAGCAATTGTTTGGTAGTTGAAAAGAAAATAAGGAAGCACGAACCACGTCTTCCTAGAGTTGATGTCACCCGTAGAAGGTGCATGTTGCAAGCCCTAGCTTCAACCTGAAAATGGTGCCCCCCCCCCGAAGGGTTCAGTACAAGTACTGAGCGAGTAGCAGGCTAAATGAAGCATAACTAATGTTTCAAGCATAAGACCCAAACATAGGGTGATACATATACTTATATCCCTTTCCCCAAGTCTTGAAATACATATCAGTATATACACTTGGAAAATACTTAACTCGTAGGTTATCGTTTATTTGGGAAAAATAGTAGTAAAGTTCTTGACTTAAAACCCCAACCCACCCATATACCTATGAGTGTATATGACTACTCCCTGTCCCAAATTTTAATCAAAATCTATGAGTTTTAAGGACAACAAAATCCTTGGGTACTCCACCAACAAACATATGAGTTTTGAGGGCTCTTTAGTCCTTGGGTTCTCCACCGAAATATTCATCTATTCCGAGTTTTGAGGACTCTTTAGTCCTTGGGTTCTCCACCATATGTATTCCTGAGTTTTGAGGGATTTTAGCCCTTGGGTCCTCCACCGATGTATAGATGAGTTTTGAGGACTCTTTAGTCCCTGGGTTCTCCACCAAATATGACCCTATGATCTACCTTATTCCAAACTAGATAAGGCCTATATCATAATCATTTATACAAGGCTAAATCAATCCATAAAGCCTATGCATATATCAGTCCATGCAAAGTCATGCATTCGTGTCAATTCACAAGTAAATAATATCAATCGGTGTCGGTTGTTCCGTAGTCAACCGGTCAACTTTCTGTTGATCGCCACTAACAATCTTACCCATACCAATGACCGGGCTAAACTTGCAAGTGTACAAGTGCCGATATAGTAATAAATTCCGGTAAAATACCGGGTCGAATCCACAAGGAAACGTTGTTTAATTCAAGTCCGAGAGTAGATAACTTTAAATGAAGAATTGAATAAAGTGCAGGGATTTTGATTTGTGTTTTATATTTTTGGTTTTTTCAACTTTTGTTCAACAAGATAATCGTTAACTAACTTTGAGTTCAAGATAAATGATAACAACAACTAAAGCTTCGGGAATCACTTAAATGCTTTAATAGGGTTGAATATTAGTTCTTTACCAATAATTATGAATACGATGTCGCTAATATATTCTCAACTCCGGTTAAGGCAGCGAGAGCGTGGTTTTCGTTACGTGTAAGTCCCGTTACGGCTTACATTCATCTACCGAAAACCCCATTGAATATCAAGACATCACACCCGTATCATATAAGACCGGATATATTTCTATTCTCGGTACTATATATGTTTATCCTTTAATGTTCATAGTTTAGACTTCAAAGTTAATTGCAAGTATAAACTAAATTTAACATACTTCTATGTTGTACACCATAGTCATAAACAATCAATATATAAAGGATAAATCACAATTTATTGGTTTAGAACTTTTATCAAACACCTAGTGAGCATAATAAATGTAATGGAACATGAAATTACAAAGGAAATAATACCTAAACACCAATGATTTCGGAGGATGAACTTCCCTCCTCAAGAACTTGAAGAAAATACCAAGAACAAAAATATAAAAGCTAAGAATTAATCTATGGAATGGAATGTATTTGTATGATGAATTGAGGGCTTTATATAGGCTACAGAATGACATCTTTTAGTCTATTCAAGCCCAACAAGCAGGTGTGGAGGAGATATCTGATCAAATATGGAGAAGATGAAGTTTCCCATCAAGAAATCTTTTGCACGTAGCTATGTTTGTAGCAGAAATCGGGACAACCGGCGCCGGTTATAAGGTGTCCGGCGCCGGTCGTGTGCAAAAATGCACCGGTCGCTCCGCGCCGGTTGGAAACAGGCACTTTTGGGGAAAAAAACAAATGACCGGCGCCGGATGTAGGATGACCGGCGCCGGTTCCTGCGCCCAAATGTGTACTTAGCTTCTTTTTTCTCTTTTGAAGCCCGAAATTTATCCAGAAGTGCCGGTTTTCGACTCTTTTTTGCTTTTGACCCTATTTTTGCTGTTCCAATGCGCATTGCATGTTTCCGCTCATTCGGGAATATTTACCTGTTTTTGCTTTAATTTTTGTACAGATAATTATAATCACTTATGTAAAACATAAGTAATTATTGTGCTTATCAAATTCCCCCACACTTGAGCATTGCTTGTCCTCAAGCAATTTCTTTGTATTGATGCATAATTAGAAAAGAAACTAAACCATGCAAATTAAAAGTTTAATAAGATGTTAAAAATTAGATATAAACTCTTTAATCTTTCTCGATGTCAAAAACCTTTTTCTATTACTCACAATAAATGTATTTAAGATTAAGAAAAATATTTAAACACTTGATGGGTTTATTTTGTGACAATTTAGGCAATGTGTGGGTATGTCGGTGTTTTTTTTTTCTTGTAGACTGACAACTTGATTTTGTAGAGAAGGCTATTCTAGGAGAACATGGGTTTTTTTTGCTTTTGTATATAAACTCTTTTTTTTTGTTCTCCGTAATCATATATCTAGATTG